CAAACTTTGTTGGCTCCATCTGTTGAAACTACCAGCAAAATATTATTATAAGATTCTATGCTTTTTGGTTCTTCTTCAGAAGTCGCTTGACATATTTTTCCCTGTGATCTTGTAAGTAGGTCAATGTCATTTTCCTTCTCAAATTGGTTAGCTCTATTCCAAAAAGCTACCAGCCAAATCTTATGAATCCATTCCTTTTAGTTCTCAAGAACAAATCCATTAAAATGTTTTTGACCTCTGTGACTTCCAAAGTAGGCTGAGGTCATTTTCATTTGCAAACTTTGGTGAGCTCTATACCGGGAAGTCACCAGCCAAATATTATAATTTTATGCCTTTTAATTCTTAAGAAGAAGCTGCAGTTTGAATTGTTTGACATATTCGAACGCTGTGACCTTGAAAGTAGGTCAAGGTCATTTTCATTCTCAAACTTTGGTAGGCTCCATCCAAGAAAGCCATCAGCCAAATATGAAGTTTCTATACCTTTTAGTTCTTTAGAAGAAGACGTTTGAAGTTTTTGACATATTTGACCCCTGTGACCTTGAAATTAGGTCAAGGTCATTTTCATTCTCAAACTTTGTTGGGCTCTATCCCAGGAAGCCATCAGCCAAAATATGAAGATTCTAAACCTTTTAGTTCTTTAGAAGAAGACGTTTGAAGTTTTTGACATATTTGACAACTGTGACCTTGAAAACAGGTCAAGGCCATTTTCGTTCTCAAACTTTGTAGGGCTCCTACCAACGAAGCTTTCAGCCAAATATCATGAATCTAGGCCTGTCCGTTCTTCAGAAGAAGTTGTTTAAAGGAAAAGTAAACAGACGGACAGACGGACGACGGACGCCGCGCCACGGCATAAGCTCACTTGGCACTTCGTGCCAGGTGAGCTAACAAGAGCTAACAAGAGCATAACATAGTAAATGGGTTTAATTTCAATTCCATCTAAAATGAAAATTGGATTTTCATACTTAGAATATTTTGAGATGCAACTTTTTTTCATTTTTTTCTTTATTTGTTATTCAGGACACATATTAAATGTATGTGATTACCAAAGTCAGTGTTCTAAAAATAAACAAGAGGCCCAATGGGCCTGCATCGCTCACCTGTTATTAATCTAACACTTGTAATCTTAAGATTTCATAAGAACCTATTAAAAGATTTAAACATATGACGCCTCTGACCTTGATTGTTGAACAAGGACATTAGGTTGAAAGTGGATCAAGGTCAATCATTTGAACTAACATGGTAGTCCTTCATCCCAGCATGCTACAGGCCCAATTTCAGTACCCTGGCCCTTTTGCTTATTGAAAAGAAGTCGCTTGAAGATTTTACGACATTTGACCCTGTGACCTTAAAAGTTGGTCAAGGTCATTCATTTGAACAAACTTGGTAGTCCTTCATCCCAGAATGCTACAGGCCTAATTTCAGTACCCTTGCCTTTTTGGTTATTGAGAAGAAGTTGTTTGAAGATTTTACGACATTTGACCCCTGTGACCTTGAAAGTGGGTCAAGGTCATTCATTTGAACAAACTTGGTAGTCCTTCATCCCAGAATGCTACAGGCCTAATTTCAGTACCCTGGCCCTTTTTGTTATTGAGAAGAAGTTGTTAGAAGATTTTACGACATTTGACCCCTGTGACCTTGAAAGTGGGCCAAGGTCATTCATTTGAACAAACTTGGTAGCCCT